AAACGCACCCTACAGCTGGTTCAAGGGTTTCCGTGGGACTGGTTTCAAGTGTTTGTGATTGGGTGTGGTTTGGCATGTAGCATGTTCAAGTTGAGATTTTTTTTAATAAGATATAGTACCTCTTTAATAAAATAAATTTTAATTTTACCCATGAAAAAAAAAAAGAGAGAATACTCTCATGAAAAACTTTTCAGTTATAATATAAATTACACATAGATATACTTATATCGTGATTTCATGAATTTTTTTAGTGATAATATATAATAAAATTAATGTTTATTAATCAAATTTTTAGAAAATTAAGATAGAAAATATTTTAAAGTTACATCATTTGAATAAATTACCACCAAAATAATCTTTGTTTAAATATAAGTTAATTTAATTTTTTTAATGTAAATTTATTAAAATTATATAATTTTTAAATATTTTTTCTTCTTAATTTTCTGAAAGTTTACTTGAAAACACTTTTTTACATGTGTAATAGCATAGATATAATCTTTCAAATTCTTTCCAGTAAAGGAGCAAAACCACGCACTTTATGAAACTAGAAATTAAAGATAAGATAAGATCATAAAAAAAAAAACAAAAAAGGAAAAAAGAAATTAAAGATAAGATTGACCATCACCCGTACGTATACCTTATCTGAATAAATAATGAAAATAACAAGGTAATCAAAACTAAAATTGGTTCAGATATGATTCATTTTTGGAAAAAGATTTTTGAACAATTTTTAGTACAAGCTGATGTATTATTTAAATAATTAATTTTTTTTTATTTATGTGAAATTTATGATATTAAATACATTCACTCATTTAATTGCATATGAAAATTATATTAAAAGATGATATAAAAAAATTATCTCTATAATATCACTCTTCGGTTTTTCATTCAACTTATTACTTGATTATTTCACAATAATTAAATGATAAGTGAATGCCAACTAATTTACAAATTGATCAAGCGAAAAGAGTAATTATTAAGTAGGATTATGAGATTTTATTATGAAATAAAATTAGATAAATTATTTTTTTCAATTAATTAGCATATTTAATATTAAATATATTTTACATCTTATTCAAACGCTTTCTAATGGAAACGAATCGATTTTTTCTTAGAAAATGATAGACCAACATTTGGTAGGCAGAAAGTGGAGAAAAAAGTATCATAATTGCCTCTTTTTAACTTAAACACATCTCATGCATAGATATATTCATCCACTAAATTTGATATTTGATATTAAGTTCTTTGGTTTTCTCACCACTTTTGACTTTTTTTTAAAAAAAAAATATTGGGAAATAATTCATCCCTAAATTATGAGTTTATATCAATTTATATTTGTCTAAGTTACACTATGACTTCCACCAATTAATAATTTTCAAAGTTTTGGAACTGTTCAACCACTACTTTTTCTCTTTCTTTTTGTTTTTTTTAATAATTTTTTATAAAATTTATAATCAAATCTACAAT